AAATGCAAAGTACTCCACTTAGGAAGGAACAATCAGTTGCACACATACAAAAAGGGAAATGACTGCCTAGGAAGGAGTACTGCGGAAAGGGATCTGGGAGTCATAGTGGATCACAAGCTAAATATGAGTCAACAGTATAACGCTGTTGCAAAAAAAGCAAACATCATTCCGGGATGTACCAGTGGGAGTGTTGTAAGCAAGACACGAGAAGTCATTCTTCCGCTCTACTCTGCGCTGATTAGGCCTCAACTGGAGTATTGTGTCCAGTTGTGGGTGCCACATTTCAGGAAAGATGTGGACAAATTGGAAAAGATCCAGAGAAAGCAACAAAAATGATTAAAGGTCTAGAAAACATGACCTATGAGGGAAGCTTGAAAAAATTGGGTTTGTTTAGACTAGAAAAGAGAAGACTGAGAGGGGACATGATAACACTTTTCAAGTACATAAAAGGTTGTTAGAAGGAGGAGGGAGAAGAATTGTTCTTCTTAACCTCTGAGGATAGGACAAGAAGCAATGGGCTTAAATTGCAGCAAGGGAGGTTTAGGCTGGACATTAGGGAAAACTTCCTAACTGTCAGGGTGGTTAAGCAGTGGAATAAATTGCCCAGGGAGGTTGTGGAATCTCCGTCATTGGAGATTTTTAAGAGCAGATTAGACAAACACCTGTCAGGGATGGTCTAGATCAGGCCTGCACAACTTGTAAAGTGGCGAGGGCCATATTACTCCAAAGAAAACAGCTGAGGGCTGACCCTCCCGCCCCCCGTGCCGCTGAAACACCCCTCCCCCGAGCCCCCCCGAAACACAACACACATACCCCAGCACCGCCCGCCCCGCGGAAACAAACCCTCCTTCCCCAGCACCGCCCCGCCGAAACAGCTGTGGGCCGAAAAGGAAGGTTTTGGTGGGGGGGGGGTGTGATACTTTATTAAGAATTTTTCAATTAAAGCAAACAATTGTATGTATGGCACACTAGGAAGGCACTGACAGTGTGTGGAAGCCTGTAGTGTAGAGGGGGAAAGAAACGGCATGCATAGTGTGACCAGATCACAGCAGTAAAATAGGACCCACCCCCTCCCTGCTCGGCCCCACCATCACACCCCTCTTCACCCCCTAGCCCCCTCGCTGGCGTGCTGCATCCCTCCTAGTCAGTCCCCCACCCACCACTCGCCTCCTTTCACCTCCTCCCTCCCCTGCCGGAAACCCGCATGCCCGTCCCTAGAACCCCTGCTGGCTCACTTCTCGCCTCTTTGCCCACCCGCCGCTCGCCCACCCGCTCGCCTCCAACTCGCCGGTCACCCCCCCCAAGTATAAAGCCCCATTCAAAGACCCAGGGGTCACTATATTACTGCACACAGCAGTCAATCAATGCAGTTGTAGATAAATCTCTGCATTATGCATTTTTGTATAACTTTTATATGACTTTGCATTGAACCTTAGTAATATGTTATAGCAGGCCCCTGAGGTAGTATAATTAAGGTAAAAGAAAAATGTCTTTTTGCTAGAAGTAGAATAAGATCTTCCCCCCACTTTGTAATCGATTGCCGTGTTGAATGAATGAGGTGTGAATGAGGAAGGTGTGGAAGGCAGCACCTCCAGACAGCTGCAACCCTTGGAGAGGGGGTGGGAGCCAGACCAGATCAGGCCCAATGCTGCTCGCTCACCCAGATGTAATGGGCCAGTGGTAGCCACTCCATAGTTGAGACTGATCCTAACTTACAACTAAGATCAATTTTTAACTTCCGTGTAGTTCCCCTGAGCTCTCCTTGGCCAGGTAGGATTTGTCTGGGAGGTTTGGTAACCTTCAGAAAAGGGGTTTTGCAATTAAGGTATTTCACAAATATCCATCATTCCCTTTCTGAACATTTTCCTAGCTTCCTACCCCCAAAATGGCTTGGCCCCAAACACCAGGTGTCTGGCTGAGTCGGACGGGGGCCTCTGGGTGTTACTGGGGGAGAGCTGGGGGATCACAAAGACCTGTGTCATGTTTATAACATTGACTCTGTAAATTATTTAAACTGCCCTTCTGCTGAGTGCTGGCTCTGCGGCAAGGGCTGCTCTGCAGAGGAAGAGGTGGGGGCCTGGAGCGGGTAGGATGTGGCTAGGATTCTTGGGGGCAGGGCAGGGCAGGGGGGATGGTGAGGAACAGGGAAGAATGATATGGCTGTGGGGTTGGATCCCTGAACTGTTCATTTCTAGACTGTCCTGCCTTTGGGTTTTTAGGGAAGCTGTCGAGTATTTGTAAGTGAGATTTGTTGATGGGCTTTTAACTGGGATCCTCTAAAATTTACAGCTTAACTCTTCAGCTAACGAAGTGGTTCGGATTTATGTGCAGTATGTCATAGTTCTCTCTTCTCTAACACAGGGATGGACATTTGATTTGATCCTGTCCTCACTTTGCCTTTGCACTGCTGGGGACAGACTCTGCTGCACAGGTTCCCAAAGTGTGGTGGGATTGAGTCCAGAGAGCTGGGTGTGTGCACATGGGGCCAGCTTCTTCTGACTGTGAGATAGAAAGAAACTAAATATACATTTAAACGTCCTCCTAAGGTGGCTTTTCCATGGAAGCAGTTCCTGCAGTGACGACAGGCACATGAACCCATGAGGCAGTCCCTGCATTAACCAGTTTTCCACACTATGAAAAAGTTGAAGAACCCCTGATCCAAACACAGCAGCCTGTCTGGTCCTGGGATTAGCAGTGCTTCCCCCCAGAGACTGTCAAGCCTTAATGACCCAGTTTTCTTTACCACCCTGGGGCAGTTACTTGAACATTTGGGACCGTCGGGGGCATTCTGCCATTTCCCTCTCCCAATTGCCGCCCCCCAGTGCCCGCCTCCTCGCCCCCCCCCCCGGTTCACCTACTCGCCCTCTGCCACTGCCCACCTGCTTGCCTCCTCAGCCCCCCCTCCCCCGCTGCCGGCTCACCTGCCCCCGGCCACTGCCCACCCGCTCGCCTCCTCAGCCCCCCCCCCCTGCCACCAGCTCACTTGCCTGGCCTCTTACTTTCTGCCGCTGCCCCCGCCTCCTGTCGCTGGCTCACCCTCACTCTCCAGCCTGCCACTGGCCCCTTCACCACCCCGCCCACCCGCCGGCCAGCCAACCGGCCGTTGGCTTGCCTACTCACCCCCCGCGGGCCGCACAGTGAGCCCACCTACTCACCCCCCGCGGGCCGTATGTTCTGCAGGCCTGGTCTAGATGATACTTAGTCCTGTCACAAGTGCAGGGGACTGGACTAGAAGACCTCTCAAGGTCCCTTTCAGTTCTATCATTCTATGATCTGTCAGGGGGAGCTGTGATTGGTGCTGCTATGGGGCCTGGTGTGTGGGATTGGGGGCCACGCTGCATCAGGTTAGGATAACCACTGTGGGGACACTGCCATAGTTGCGTGGCTGGTGGAGGCACCATGGTTGCTCTAGGCCAGGGGTTCCTGCCGTAGTCTTAGGGCAAGTATGGACCCCAGAGCAGAGCGAAGGGGCTGGGATGGTGCCGGGCGGCTGTGCTGGAACATGTGAGTCCAGCGATGAGTGAGAGGATGGGGGGAACTCAATGCCTTGGATGCTCGTGGTGCGCGCATGGGGGAGCCGGGTGTAGCTGAGAGGAGAGCACAGGGGCGAGCGGTGTCGCTGGCTCGGGTGTGGGTGGGGGGTTGGGCGCGTTCCAATTAGAAATGGCAAATCAGGAAAACAGTGACACATGGAAGCTGCTGTAATTCACGGTTCGTTTTTCACACTTAACAGTGCTAATTAAAGCAGAGAAAAGTGAGTCTGAGAATGATTTATGCCTCTAAAAATAACCCAGTAGCATGTGAATGGCCTCTGGGGGCCATACACACAGGCAGGGCAGCATCCCCCCAGCCAGGGAATTGTGATGGATTCTTGGGTTGCAACTTTGAGGTCACCTCACTTCCCCTCTTCTGCTGCCATGCTGAGACTGGAGGGGGAAGGCAAAGAAATTAACCCTTTGTCCTCCAGTGCCTGTGGCATGAACTCCCCTTCTTCCAGAGGGCCATCCAGGTGACTCAGGAGGGGCCCACGTGGCGCAGATAGACCAGAGCAGCTCCCGCCCCGAGCGCTGGCCGGGGGAGTTCAGCCTTTCTCCGGAGGGGAAGGCGGCTCTGAGCAGGCTGCAGCAGCGCTTGCTGGCATGTGTTGCATTGTCAGGATGCTGCTCTGTCCTGAGAGGAGATGGGTGCTGGGTTCTGCCCAGCCTTCCTTTCATCCCGATCCCTGGGCTGCTGGCTCAGCCCTTCCCAGCTCAGCGGCAGCCTAGTGGCCTGTCTGAAAGGAGCAGGCAGGTCTCAGCCCAGCCACTAGAGGGCAGGGCTCAGCCGTTATCAGTAGTGATCAGCCTCCCCCCAGAGCTGGGCTGGGGGAGTGGGGCAGTGGGTGGGGGAGTTCGCCCTGCACCTGCCTCTGCTGCATCTGGTCTTGGTAAACTGCAGTTTCTGCTTTCCGGCGCCATCAGGCGAGCACTGAATTGACTCAGCGCCCATGCGAGGAGCCTGCCAGGGGCAAGCTGCTGGGGCGTGGAAGGAGCTGGGTCTCTGGAGAGCTGAGTGATGCTGAACTAGCCCAGGGACCACTGCTTCTGGGGAGAGGCGAAGGGCAAGGGGTTGCCAGCACAGGGCAGCAGCCAATCACATGCCCTAAGAGGGGGGCAAGGATCTCGCCGGCTGAACACCTGGCTGCTGACTGCAGGGTTATCAGGGGATGATTCTCCTGATAAAAATGGCCCCCCAGCCCTATCCCCAGACATGTCTGTCCGTGGGGAGGACTCACCCAGCCCCATTGCCATGCGAGGGGGGGGCTGGCGCAGGAGGGGGGTTATTGTGGGTATTTAGGGTGTGCTAAGCACTGATCAGCTATAAGTAAAGTCATCCCCTGCCCAGGGGAGTGTCTAAGCCACTCACCCCGCAGCATGCTGGGTGGCCTCCAGCACCCCAGAGCCTGTGGAGGGAGCAGCTGAGCATTTTGAATAACAAACTGCATCTGTGCGTGAGCAGTTCTCCACCAGCGAGGGGCACAGTCTGTAGATTATCGACTCCCACAATCTGCCCAGTGTGGTGACCCTACCTCAGCAGAGTCTCACTGCACGTGAGCCAGTGGGATCCTACAGCATCCTCACCCTTGCCGGCCTTCCCGGATCCAAACCCAAAGGCATCATGCTTGGCTTTCCCTGTGCGACCCCAGCTGTCCCTGGAACCCCACAAGCCAGCCCAGTCCTCCTCCCAGGAGTCAAGACAGTGCCATTCCCAGGAGAGAGACAGCTCATGCTGGTTGCTAAGCAACACCATGTCAGGGATGCTGGAGCAGAGAGGAGGCTACTCGCCCTTGATGAATGGTGCACAAGGACTGTGTCATCAGGGAGTTGCCCCTCCATGATGAGTCTCCATCTCTGAGCTGTGCTGGCCACACCCAGTGGGGTGTTTGTGTGGGGATGTGGGCTTAGGGGGCTCAGGAACAAGGCCCTTAGGGCATCCAGAGTACGTTCTTAGTGACAGCAGTATGAACGGACTTCAGCCACGTGTGCAAGGCACATGCCAATGACAGTCTTGTGCCAGTGACACGATGGAGTTTGCTGAGCTGGGTGTGGGCCTGACTGGCGTGCTGGTGGGCTAGCTGTACAGACAGTGAGAGGCAGCAGGCAGTCCCTGCCCCCCAGACAAGACAGGATTGCCCCAGCTTAGCCAAGAAGCTGCACTGCTTTGCCCAAAGTCACACAGGAGATCTGGAGTCAGCTGCTGGCTCTGACTCCCAGCCCAGTGCCTTGCTCCCTCTCTCAGGGTCAATATTGCTTCGGATGATCCATGGGCCAGCCAGGTGGGAGGGGCCAGCTGGGGAGAGGAGTTGCTGGGGGTCCCTGCTTTGATCTCTCAAAATGGACCGTGAAGATGAGCCAGGCCCAGGCAAGCCCTTGGAGTTTGAAGCCACGATTTGCAGCGCCCAGCTTCGCTCTAAGCAAAGGGTCACTCTGACCAGGACGCTGCAGGCTGGGACTGGCCCTGGGAGCTCATTGTGCTCTGTGTTCTGCACTAGCAAGACAAAGGGGTTTCCTGGCCTCGGAGCTGCTGCATGCTTGAACCTGGCCGCCAGGAAACCCAGTGCTTAGACCCTGCTTGGGTGTGTTTTGTGTCCACAGAATTCCCCCTTCCCAGGGCAGTGGGCTCCAGAAGCCTATGGTTTTTTTTTT